AGATCTAGAGCAGTGGGCAGCACTCACTCTTGGCAGCCTTTTAGCATCAGGGGCCAGGGGTTCCATCTCCAGGCCTGCTGTCCTGGCCCCGCCCCCAGCATGCTCTGAGATGGCAACTGAGACCGAGCGTGCTGGCACTGCCCTGTAATCCCAGCTCTTGGGAGGCAGTAAACAGGTGGGCCATTAGGAGTCCAATCTAGTAGTGAGACCCTGAACACTCTGTAGACCCTGCCCTAAAAATACAAAAAAAAGAAAGAAAGAAAGAAAGAAAGAAAGAAAGAAAGAAAGAAAGAAAGAAAGAAAAACAATCCCCAAGGCAGAAAAGCAGGAGAGCCAGGAAGCCCAGTGGGCTGAGGTTGCAGTCACCATGGGGACGGAGACATTTCTGACTACAGCTGCATGCACGCTGAGCACAGAACAGAAAGGCTGGTGTGGCCACACTCCCCGGTCACCCCTGAGGCAGCACACTTAGAAAGGAAATGATGGAAAAGATGCAAGAGCGGCCTAAGCTTTGCATGTGCTCTGCAGTAGGCTGCGTCTAACAGGACCCTCAGTGAGGCATGTCTCCTAGCACCAGTGCCACGTGTGACGCCCTCTGCCTGGGGTACAGTGATTTGCTGCTCATACATAGAATAATGCAAAACTGACGGGTGTCACTTGCAAGAAAAGGCTGTAAGGAGCTGAATTCTGCCCCGCCCTGACTCTCCCTGTAGCTCCTCTCCTTGCTGTTCTCACAGAACACACTATACGACAGGAGTCAACAAGGGAAAAGCAGCTACCAAGAAACCCAGGGGCGCTCAGCAGAGAGCTGTGCTCTTAGCTCAGTGGCCTTTGAGGAAGCCAGTCCTCCAAGACCCACACAGGCAGTGGGCGTGCACGGCCTTCCCAGCCTGGCTCTCCTATTACCCATCTGGCCAGGGGCTTGATTATGGCCTGAGCCAGAGACTCCAGCTCAGACACACGTGAAGCCACCAAACACTGGGATCTGTTGGAATGCAGCAATAAGGTCACTGCTGTGACCTCTCTAGCCACACACAGATCCTCAGCAGAGAACGAAGGCTTGAGGGGCACCAACATGACCGCTGCCCCATGCGCTATGTGCAGAGTCAATGCTTAGAAGCAAAGCTGTGTGTGAAAAAACAAGAGTACAAACAAGTTGATCAGAAGCTTCCAGGGACTTCACATTATAAGAAAGACTTCACAGCTTCCTTGACAGAGTTTGCAAGGAGCCCAAATATGTTATTAAACAGAGAGAAGTGAAGATAGCAATGCATCCTGGGACATGGGTCAGTATCCAACGTTGCTGTAATGTTTTCAACTGACAAGTGAAACTTCTGTGATACGTAACCTGTCTTGGCGTATGCATACACTGGGGGATGACTAAAGCAAATTAACTTGTACATTACGCATGTTCACATAGCAGAACACTTTTTTTTTATAATTTTAAAGAGAAAACAATAGAACAAAATTTCAAAGCAAGATAGTAACAGAGTAACCATTACCTTTCCCTTCCTTCCTTCCTCCTTTCCCTTATCCCAGTTTCTGTCTCATTTTGAACATTTTGTCCCATTTCCCAATATCTATTATATTTTAGATTATATTTAGTCTTTCAGATTCTCACTCCAAGGAGGCAATATGATGCTTACACATGTGAGTCTCATTTATTTCACTTAGGAGTAGTCTTGAGTTGTACCCATTTACCTGTAAGTCTCCAGTTTATCCTTCTTTGTGGCTGAGTAGTACTCCATTGTATAGAAAGACTACATCTTTTTTATCCATTCCTCAGGCGATGGGCATTTGGGTTGTTTCCAAGATTTATCTGTGACAAATTACACCGCTATAAACATGGATGCACATATATCACTGTGATGATTAGAATTCTTCTAGGAAGATACCCAGAAGGGGAATACCTGGGTCCAATAGCACCAATAATCCTAGTTTTTGAGGAATTACTACACTAATTTCCACAGTGATCACACCAGTCTACACTCTCATAACAGTGGGGAAGTGTTCCTTTTTCCCCATAGCCCTGCCAGTATTTATTATTGGTTGATTTCTTGATGATATCCATTCTTTCTGGGGTGAGATGGAATCTCAGTGTTGTTTTAAGATGCTTTTTTTTTTTTTTTTTTTTTTTGTATTTTAGGGAAGGGTCTACAGGGTGTTCAGGGTCTCCTAAAATGGACACGTAGTGATTCGCCTATTTACAGCCTCCCAAGAGCTGAGATTACAGATGTGCACCACCATGTCTAGTCTCAATTGTCATCTCAGCACACCCGGGGGGTGGGGGGGACAGCACAGCAGGCCCAGGGATTGAACTCCCGGCTCCTGTGCCTGATTGCAGGCACTTTAATCCGCTGAGTTATTCTTCCAGCTCTGAAGATGCTATTCTTCTAATATCAAGTTTTCAAGCAAAAATTATTAGATGCAAATAAACAGAAAAGTGATACATATAATCAGGAAAAAAGCAGTAAATAGAAATGCTCTTTGAATGTTTGTAGATGTTGTATTTAGCAGAAAGACTTCAAAGAACTAAAGCAAGTTATGCTTTAAATTTAAATGAAATTATGACAATAATGAATCAGCAGAGAAAAATTCAAGTAAAGGTATAAAATTATGAATAATAAATGGAAATTTGGGAACTGAAAAGTATAATTAAAATGAAAAATTTATTAGACTAACTCCATAGCAGATTATGTATGGCAGAGGAAGGAATCAGTGAACCTGAAGATCGAGTGAGAAAAATTATCCAATTTAAAGAACAGAAAGTAAAAAATAATTATTGAAGAAAAATTGACAGAATCTTAGAAACCAGTAGGACAATAACAAGAGTGCCAGTGGATATATAGTATCCCAGTAAGTTTTCTCTCATTACTGGGACAAAACACCTGACACCCAGAGTTAAAGAAGGAGGGCCAGTGAGATAGCTCAGTAGTCTAAAGCACCTGCTTAGGAAAGCTTAGGCAAACACAGGGACCACGGTTCAATCCCTGGCGCCACATGCTGTGCCAGCCCCACCCCTCAGGGTGGGCTGAGCCAGCCACACCCGGAAAAAAAAATTAAGGAAGGAAAGTTTATTTAGCTCACAGTTTGTAGAGGTCTCAGTCCATATTTGGCTGGCTCTAAGAGTGGCACATGGCAGAGGGCAGCAGTTGATGGCAGTGGAAAACAGCAAAGCAGTAAGAGCAAAAAGGGAGGAGCAGGGGCAACAGAGGCAGAGGCAGCAAGCCTCTTCACTTATATGTACTCAGGCTATCGGGGGTGTGGCACTCTCATCCACCATCTCAGCACTGGGTCATGAATTACTCACTAACTCCAGAAGCCTGCCTTAGTACCTACATGAGGCCTTGGGGGGACACCTAGATGTAAACCCTAGCATACAGAGTCCCAGAAGCAGAAAAAACAAAGTTGCGGAAAAAAAACTTGACTCAAAACTTCTAGAATCTGATGTAAAATACTAAGTATATGCCCAAGAGTTCAACAATGTTCAGGTGAATACAGAGATCCACCCCTAAACACATCACTGGCAAACAGTCAGAGGACAAAAAATAAAAGCAGAGATCAGCAAGAGAAAAATGATTCCCACAAGCCCCAAAGCAGCAACATGGTGAACAGCTGGCTTCCTCCATGGAAGTGTGAGGACAGAAGCTGGTGAGCACCACAGTGTGCTGCTACAAACCCCCTAGCCCAAGGTCTGCTACCCAGAGGATCTTCTGCAAAAGCAAAGCTAACCTAAAGACATTGACACACAAAGACAAAGGGGTTCATGGCCAGCCTGGGCATGGTGGTGCATGCCTATAATTTCAGCATAATAATCTCTTTGAAGTCTTTCTGCTAAATACAACATCTGGGAAGGCTGAGGCAGGAGGATCCCTGTGAGTTCTAGGTCATCCTGGACTACAAAGTGAGTTCAAGTTCAGCCCAAAATGCATAGTGAAACTTTGTCTCAAAAAAAAAAAAAAGAATTTATTGCCACTTCTTACAACTATATATTTGTTTTTCTTACAACTATATTATGAAATGCATAAACTCAGCTACAAGTCAAAATGACCATGAAAGGTAAACATTTGGAATTAACTCCGGACATCAAGGCGGCCATGAAAGTGTCACTGGAGACTCACAGACAAGGAAGGAGGATGCCTGCGCTGACGTCTGTCAGGATCTCTGTGGAAGTGGACATGGAGAGCCCGTGAGAGGCTCTGACAAGGTCCAGATGAGAGTACTAGGTGGAGGGGAGGTGACCTTGCAGGCCCAAGTGGGAGGAAGATGGTGTTCCAAGGGAGCAGCAGAGGGGTGGAGCCTCATAGTGACAGGAGACAAGAGGGTCTTGTGCCTTAAGGCAGGGCCCACTTCCCACTAAATGGGGTGGGGTATGCCTCCCCCCACCAGGTGAACAGGTCCAGAATGCACTTCCCCAAAGCCCTGTTCTTACGGCAAGGACCGGGGGCCCCACAAAAGCAGATGATGCCAGGGTGTGTGCAAGGATGAGATCATGGTTAATCCACATCCTCCACAACAAAGAAACCCCTAAAAAGAAAAAAAAAAGAAAGAAACCTCCAAAACACGAGGAAGAATTTCCCTCCAAAATACCATACACATGGCCCAACAGAAATGTTCACCATCCGACCCCAGAGATGCCATGCAAGTTCTTTCTGCTCTTTATGAATAGGCCAGTCTGATCCTCCTCATCAGAGCTGTTCTCCCTTCAGATCTTCTTCGGTCAGCTGATATCCCTTCTTCATTAGAGCTTCTGCCGGTAAATGCATCCTGTTGCATCAGGGTTAATGTCCATGAGCACCAGCACAAGTTTGCCTAGCTGTCCCATATCGCCACCTCCACTCTGACCCAGTGCCAGCTGCAAAACCTGGCAGTGACCTCACAATCACTCCCCACATGTCTGTCTTCTGAAACCAAGAGTCCAGGTCTCTGCCTTTGTGACCCTCTCCAGGGGCCACACCCCTGTTGCGAGTCACCCACACCAGCCAGTCCAGGCATAGGGATCGAGAGAGTGCTAGCCACTCACCCAAGGCAGAGGCAGGACTCCAGCATGTCAGAGAAGCCAAAGGATCTAAAGGACCTCATGCCCACAGAGAGGAAGACCATGTGGAGGACTGAAGAGGAGAGGAAGATGTCTGACCTCACTCGGGTGCTGGAGTGGCTAGAGAGGAGGAAGGGAAAGAAGAAGCAACCTGTCCAGGTGTGTTCTGTAGAAGCGCAGGTGCAGGACATTGGGCAGCTGGAGCTCTGAACACCCACAAGATGAAAGTCAGAATCAAGAGTTAGCACTAGGGGGGAACTATTAGGGGATGTTAGAGAGGAGGTCAGTTAGGCTATCTGTATTTGCTTATAGGTGGTTATCAGAATTGGAATCCTGCCCTCCTCACAAAAACTGAAAGGGGCACAGTCTCTCTTGATTCAGTTTCAAAGGGATGACTTGAGAAAGATATTTCAGTGTTGAAAAGTAACAAGAGGTGGTAGATTGACATCTCAAAAGGGCAGAGAAGGCACAGGGACTGGGGGTTCAATCCCCGGGTCTGCTGTGCCAGTCCCACCCCAGGGGTGCACTGAGACAACAATTGACACTGGGCATGGTGGCGCGCACCTGTAATCTCAGCACTTGGGAGGTTGTAAACAGGCGGATCACTATGAATCCCATGTAATAGACCCTGAAATGCCCTGTAGGCCCTTCTCTAAAATAGAAAAAAAAAAAAAAAAGAGGGGGAGGGGCAGAGAAAAAACTGACAAGTTTAAGTTTTCTGAAGGAAATTCTCTAAGAAAACAGCAGTCAGTGTCCATAGCCAGAAAGAAGCCTACCTAAAGTTTAGTCAGGCTGGGAGGGATGTCAGCCCTGGACAGTATCTGAGACAGGCTAAGCGGCAGTGGCTCCTGGTGCTTAATGTTGCCAGGAGGCTGCCCCCTACCGTGTCCCACCCACCTCCTCCTAGGAGGGCTCCAGGATCAAGGGCATTACTTCCCCAATGGACACCTTCTGCTAGCAAACCTCCTCCTCCCTGCCCTGCCTCAAAGGCAGTTCTAACCTGCTCCACCTTTCTCCAGGAACTAGAGCAACCGATTGGCCTCAGTTTTCCCCAGAATTCCCTCACCCCAGGTTCATCACCTTTGGGGAGCAAAGCTATGCCCTTGGATTGCCAGCCCTGGGCAGAATCGCAGAAGCAGCGTTACTCAGGCGATGCTTATCCTGCAGCAACTTGAAGCCCTGCCTGTGCTAGCATTGAGCAGGGGTTACAGCTTCAACGGCCCTCAGCTGGGCTCCAAGGCAGGCACCGCGATCAAGCGAATTAATAAAGCACAGAGCTGAGTCCTAAACCCAGGCTTAACAGCTCCTGGGCTCTGAGGTCCTGCTCCGCCAGCACCCACAACCGCCTTCACTCTGCTCTCAGCAGCTCAGCACCCCGCCTTTCAGAAGAGCTCAGGGGTTCACTTCTCACATAGTCAGAAAGTCCCGACTGCCAGTTACATCATCCAAGCAGCACACATTTTCCACAAAGGTACTAATGATTTACCAATAGACTCCTGCTCCCCATCTTTATTTTGGGAGCAAGAGTGAGGGCTTGATTTTGGGATCTTTCAAAACTTTATTTCAATCACAAAACTCACATCCAATCTCCTTTCATTATGAATATATTCTAATAATGTTTTAGTATCCTTACCAAATATGTAGATTTTATTGTACACAGTTTTGGACCCAAGGAGGAAATAAATTTACACATCAAAAATATAATAAAACACTTACACATCGTTTTTCTCCCAGAAGCACTAGCTTTCTAAACAAGCTCCTAAGGAGGGAGGTGGCAGGTTTTATGAGGCAGGTCTCAGACAGCAGCGGGATAGGGTGGCCGTTAGTGAAGAGCTGGGTGAGGGTTTGCATGGAGCTCTTGGGCCTCTTCTCCCCTTTTTCTCAGGGTGGGCCTGGCAATGCAGGCTTTCTCCCCTTGCAGATTGCTTGTGGTGCTTCCCCCCATGACCCACCGGCAGCAAGGAAGACTCCCTAGGTCCCAAGTCTCCGCCACTAGGGCCTCTGAGCAACTGCTAAATGGTCCTGGGGTTTAAGGCTTCTCCATAAGGACCCCATCCAGCTTTCCCCAAACTGAGAGATATGTGGAGAGCTACTCAGATAACTCCATTAGAATGGAGGATGGGGCGGGGGCATTGTCCTTTCTCCTTCCCACCTGAAAACCCAGCCCCAGTCCCAGCTTGCACACCTGTCTCCACTCAACCAGATATAACCCAGAAGTAGACCAGCACTGCCCTCTGTAGATGGCAACCTCATGCCTCCTACCCTTAGCCACCCCAGGGCAGCTTCCTCCCACTCACCACCACCTTATCAAAGCCTTCTATCCACTGACACAAAGGTCACCATTCCCAGAGGGCCTTGCACCTACATGTAGCAATTATTTCATCTTCTACCTCCCTCAAGAACCTCACAAAGTAGCTCCTACCATCATCCCCATCCTTCAGAAGAGAAAACTAAGCCACCACCAAGAAAGCAATAATTTGCCCAAGGTAAGACAGCCATGGAACAATAGATGGCTCAGCTTCTAACCCAAGCCAAGTGACCAGAGCCTGCAGCCTGGGTCAGATTTGCCCTTGGGCCACAGCTCAGGGAGACCAGTGGATCGCATCCTTCTTGAGGTGTGCTAGCACCCCCACCCCACCATCAGCTTCCTGAATGGCGCCTTTACCCACTGGACTCTGAGGGCCCCTAATGAGCCATCTACCTGCTTCTCCCTGTACCTTGTAAGGCTAGGCATGGCCACAAAACAGGGACTCGGTTCAAAGTGGGCTGCACTTGGCTCCTCCACAAGTCACTAGGAGCCCCCAGAAAAGAAAAAGTCAAGATGCATTATGGTAACGCTCTGGAGCTGCAGAATGGGTGGGGTGGAGAGAAGAAAGGAGGGGAAAAGAAGGCGGAAGAGGGAGAGGGGAGAGGAAGGGAGAGGAAAGGAGGAGAGGCGAGGGGATGGGAAGGAGGGGAGGGAATGACCTGCATATTACATAAGCAGGACAAGCTCAAAGGCAGATTGGTGGCCAGGCAAGGAGGACACAGATAGGCCACTTGGGAGGGAGGGGACTTCACCTGGAGGGTGACAGAGGAAGCTACCAGTGGATTACAAGTGCAAAGGGGCAACACAAGACCTAAGGACTAGCAGGTTGTTCTGGGGCCAGGTTCAAAGCTACCATGGTGTGCCCAGAGGCCTGAGAGGCAGGAGGGAGATGGGGCCCTAGAGTATGGGTGTGGAGTACCCACTCACCAGGGAGCATCTCCTCCCAGGGAACAGAAGGCAGCCTCCTCTCATAGTCATCTGCAGCCTGCTTTCCTCCTTCCCTTTGCAGAAACAGAAGGTCATGGTGGTGGAGCCCCCAAAACCAAAGGTGAAGGGCATGAAGAAGATCAAGGGTATCCTGACGCGGCAAGAAGCAAGCCCCAAGATGAAGTTCCTGGAGCAGGTACCATGCCCGCCCTGCAGGCCTCCTCTCTCTCTCTCTCTCTCTCTCTCTCTCTCTCTCTCTCTCTCTCACTGTTCCCCTGCACCTTGCCTGGCCATTGTTCACTGAAAGCTCTGGAATGCATGCCTGCCCCACACTGACATCAAGATGACTCAGCCCCACCCAGCCCTCCCACGGTTTCCTGGGTCCCGCAGTACAGTTCCACAGTCAGCAGCATCTGCCTGCATGACGCTTTCCCCGCACCACTCCAAATGCCATCACAAACACTTGGAAACATCATGGCCCAGTAAGCACAGGCGCCTCCCTGCTACACAGTGAAAGTGGCAGCCAAAGACCCACTCCCTCCAAGGCTTGTGTATTCTCAGGGCCCCTCCATTCCTCTCATCTGCGGAGAAGTAAAAATGAAGCATCACTCAGCAGACAAGACTCCCACGCCCTCCACACTCCTCCGCCCAGGCTTCCCATTGAGGGTGGGGCAAGTGGAGCCAGATCCTGCAACCAGAGTGTGACCTTTCCTGCTTCCTCCAAGGCAATAGGGCAAACCTCCAGGAGGTCCACAGCCTCCAGCATATTGTACCAAGCGCCTTTCGGAGCAGAGCAGAGACGCCTGAGCATGTTCCCCAGCGTGTACGACAAGGAAGGTCCCAGAAGAACAGGTGAGGGAAGAGCCAGAAACCATCTTCCTTGGCACCCTGCTCTCAGGGGGAACAAAGCTCTTAGCCTCCTTAGGGAAGGGACCCCCCGCCAAACAGAGACACCCAGGTGGAGGCTTAGGGACTATGCCAGGGCAAGCTGGGCTGGCCCAGACAGGAGACAAGTGTGTGTCGAGGTCCTGTGCAGGCTCTGCATTCTCCCCAGGAAAGCCAGTGTGTGTGTGTCCCCTGCTCCCAAGCCATTTTGGTGACACTGACCTCATGAGTTGCAGATTTTCTCATTAATTCAGATACTCTGACAGTGTTCATGACAGAGGTACCAGGTAGAGTTCACACCCAGGAAAGGAGAAGCAAGTTCCTAATCCTGCCTCCACTGTCCTATGAGGAACACAGCCTTGTATTACCCAGGACACGTTTCTGTGTCTCTGGGCTTCAATTTTCTCTTATACAAAGTGACAGTAACATCACATAGTCATGGGGGTTTAGTGAGATGGTGACATAAACCACCTCAGCTTGACCGAAGGGAGGTGCTCAGTAGATGCCAGTGATCACCTCCAAGTAGAACACTCGCTAGCATTTCCGGTGGTCTGGGCCACTGAATGTGTGAGTTGTGCTTGAGGTTTTGGAGCAGAGAGAGTTGGTAAAGCAGGATTATAGAAGGGATTCCAGCCAGCCCCAGGGAAAAGTAGGCAGGAGTCTCCGAGCGAGCGGGAGTCGCCAATTTGCTCACACAAAATTGTCCCCACTGCACCCAGCAAAGTGTCCAAAGCCATTGAAACCAAGCTGTAGTCACTTGTCTGTCAAATTTAAATATGATTGGCTTTCAGTGTAGCGCAGGATCCTGGATGGAATCCTAGAACTGTTCTTCAGCGGAAAAACTCACCAAATCCGTAGGGGCCCTATAATGTGCCAATGTAAATTTCATAGTTTTGACAACTGTGTTGTGGTTATATAAGATGTGAACATTTGGGGAAACTGAGCGAAGGCTGTACTAAAATCCTCTTTTTTTTTTTTGCAACTACTCTGTAAGCCCACAATTATTCCAAAATACAAAGTTTATTAAAACTTGTTATGCAAAATCAGACTGGCTATGTGTCAGGGGAAACTCCAAACTTTAGACAAGTTTTCTGGGACTCCTAGTGTCCTTCCGGCTCTGAAGTCCTGGTCCCGTAAGGTTCATGAGTTTCTCCAGACCCTGATTCAAGTAGATTTTTCTCTCTTCCTTGGTTCCTAGTAACCCGCACACAAAACTGCCCTGTTTCCTTGATTTGGCCCCAACTATCTCACTTGATGCCTTTGTAGGTGAGCGGATTGTTACCAAAGTTTTGGGGGCAGCAGAGGGAAAGAATTACATCACAGAGCAAGCAAATTGTATATGCGACTCCCTGATTGCCAAGTTCTTTTTCTTCTCTCCCAAGATTTTTCCTGGCTACATTTCACTGTGGGAAATTCTCACCCTCAAGAATTGGATTAGGGCAAGACAAGCCAGGCACCCAAAGCACACAATTAAGGAGGCACACAGACTTGCACGATCCTGACAATGAGGGAGAATGAGTGCCTCTATGAGTTCTTCCTCACCCGGCCCTGAAAACTAATAAAGCTCCAATAACTGAAAACTGACCTTCAAGAAATGAAGATCAGGCCGGGAGATAGCACAGTCAAAGAACTGCTTGCCTGGCAAGCACAAGGTCCTGAGTTCAAACCCTGGTACTGAACCAAAAAAAAAAAAAAAGAAAGAAAAGAAATGAAGATTCATGAACTGATTGAAAATGTCGTTAAACTCCTCTTAAAGAAGTTCAGTGATTTAAAGAAAACAGACAAGTACAAGAAATTAGGACAACCATACTTGAACAAAATGATAAGTACAATAAAGCAATACAACCACTTTAAAAAATCCAAAAGATGAAGACAGTGTCTGATGAAAAGTGCCATAGAGCACTTTAGTGGGCAGATATGATCAAGCAGGTGAGTCACTGATTTCAAGGACACATTTTACATTATCCAGCAGGGGAGCAAATGAAAATAAAGGATGAAAGACAATGGAGAAAGCTTATTGAATTTAGGAGACACCTTCACTCAAAGAAATATGCATGTCATAAGCATTCAAAAAAAGAAAAAGGAGAAACAGACTAGAAGATTATTTAAAGAAATAGTGGAAGGGGCCAGGGTAATGGCTCAGTAGAATAAGTGCTTGCCTGGCACAAGGGCCTGAGTTCAATCCCTAGTTCCACCAAAAAAAAAAAAAGAAAAAAAAAAGAAAGAAGGAAAAGAAATAGTGAAGCCAGATATGGAGGCACATGGCTATAATCTAAGCATTTGGGAGGCTGAGACTAGAGGATCAAGAGTTTGAAGCCAGCCTGGACTATGTAGCAAGAACCCTGCTCAAAAAAAAGTAGCTGGAAAACGTCTCAAATTTGAGGAACAATATGAACATCCAGATTCAAGATGCTCAAAGGTCTCCCACTGAGTAACAAGACATCTACCCTGAGACTCATAATGAAATGGTCAAAAGTCTTAGCAAAAAGAATTTCAAAAACAATAGAAAAGCAATTTGTGCATATGAGGGAGTCTCCTATCAGTGAATTTCTCAGCAGAAATACTACAGGTTAGGATGGGAAAGGGGAACACTCAAAATAATGAAATGTTACAGAACACTACAGTCAAGAATACTATACCCATTTTAGCTGTATTTCAGAATGTAGGATCACCTATCCCAATAAGCAAAAGTTGAGGGACCACACCCCTACCCAAACTACCTTATAGAAAATGCTAAAGGGAACTCCTCAATTGAAATGAAAGTAAACTAACTGCATAAAACCTTGAATGTATAAAACTGACATGCAAAGTCAACTTCAGAATTTTTTAAATATTGAAATAATATTGGGTAAAACATTTTCAACTTAATACATGAAGTTTAAAAACATTTTAGCTAGGCATGGTGGTAAACTCCCTGTAGTCTCAGCACTGGGGAAGATAAGACAGGAAGATCACAAGTTCAAGCCCAGCCTGGTCAATTTAGTGGCTTAGTGAGACCCTGTCTCAAAATTAAAAATAGGGATGTAGCTCAGTGCAAAGGCCTAGGGTTAAATCTTCAATACCACAAAAACAAACAAACAAATATTTTGTAAAATATAATTCCAGGGAAACTTTTATGTTTACCTACATTTTCAGTGCTCTTCATTCCTTAATATAGATTCAGTTTTCTGTCTGGAGTCATGGGCCGGGGGCGTAGCTCAGTGGCATAAGCACAATCCCTAGTGCCTCAAAAATAAATAAATAAGTAAATAAATAAAGCTGCGATAGGTTTGGAGTCATTTTCTTTCCCCTAAAGATCTTTTACTGTATCTTGTCATATGAGTTTCTTGGTGATACATTCTTACAGCTTTTATATGTCAAAAAAATTATTTTTTGCTTCTGCTTCTGAAAGGAAGTTTTGTTGAATGTTGAGGTCTAGACTGATAGCCTTTCTTCTGTCAATCCTGTAATGAGGAGCTCTTCTCTCCTCATTCATGTTGTTTCCCTGGGAAGTTGGCCATTGTCCTCATCCATAGTTCTCTGGGATGCCACTTTTTCCCTTGCCTTCTTCAAACATGGAATAATTACACCTCCATGCCATGGACCTGTCCATGCCCTGTTGGGAACCAGGTTCTGCAGAAGGAGGTGATTGGCAACCAAGTGAGCAGGGATCCACCTGTATTCACAGCCACTCTCCATGGCTCACATCACTGCCTGAGTTACACCTCCTGCCAGATACACAGCAGCATTGGATTCTCATAGCAGTGCAAACCCTACTGTGAGTTCACAGGGGGAGGTTAAGGTTGTATGCTCCTTCAAATCACCCCAAAATCACCACCTTCTCCCAGCCCATGGAGAAACTGTCTTCCATAAAACTGGCCACTGGTTTTGCAGACCGTATAGATATCTAAGTGTTTTTTTTTTTTTTTTTTTTTTTTTTTTTTTT